ATTGAGTAATATAACCCAATTAAAACGATAAGAAACTGAAACTCACTAATCCAACACACGCCAAAAGTCAAAGAACGCACGACCGTCACGTTCGAGAGTCTAAGTTAAATTAAATGTCAAAGAATAAGCAGACATACACGAATATCCCAAAAACAAAAATAATACAGAATTAAGCAAACACATCGATATGAGTAAAAAATTAAACGGTCGGCATATTCTTCAAAATCGATATATAAGTAGAATGCAGATTTTCGGTATCCTTCTGCTTATTAAGGCCATTTTTTTGTCTCTTAATAAATAACATCTCCGACACAAGTCTTATGCAAAAAAGGTTCCTCATCCAAGATTTCCACATTATCCCAATCAAAATTATGTCCCTGCAACCGATGCTCAGTAATAACAGAAGTATGGTTAGTATTTCTGTTAATATGATTTTTATGCTCTTTAACACGAGTGGACAATAGTCTTTTTGTTTGTCCGATATAAGAAGCGTCACAATCAGAACACGAAATTTTGTAAACAACATTATTGTGTGAGGATCTCGGTAATTTATCTTTATGAACTTTAATATATGGTTTTAATTTGTTTAAACCAGTATAAGAAAGTTTAACATTTGTGCCCCGTATTGTGTTTCTAAATCTTTCAGAGAAATTTCGGACATATGGAACATTAAAAAACGAGATTCGATTATCAAACGTCGAATCCGAAAAACTTTTATTATTCACATTAATAATATCTTCCTTTTTATCAAATAAATATTTTAATCTATCATGAATTGTTTTAAAAATAAAATCTGTTGAGTAGCCGTTATCAATTAAAATCTTTATTATTAATTCAAGATTATTCTTGTGGAATCTTGGATGAGAAAGACGAAACGCTCTATCAGTCAAACAAAAAATTATGCCTCTTTTGTGAATGAAAGGGTGATTAGAAGCATAATTCAAAAATCTTCCCGAAAATGTTGGTTTACGATACCAGTCAAAAATTAAAGAACCGTTTTCTAAAATTAAGGTCACGTCTAAAAAATTCAATCTATTGTTTGTTCCCTCTTCCAGTGTAAATTGTAACCTCTGATGGTATGAGTTGAAAGTATTTAACACTGGTGTCTTCATAGAGAAAGGAACAGCCATTGCAATATTGTCTACATAACGAACGTAAAACGGTAAATAAAACGGAAGATTTCTGATAGCCCAGCATTCTAAATCGCGCATGGTCAGATCTGCTATTATCGGAGACAACAGAGAGTCCATGGGTGTGCCAAAAGTTTGTTGGTAAATCTTACCATCAAATATGAAAAAAATAGAAGAAAGCACAAACCGAACTGCCAATAAGAACTTGTCACGTGATATAGAGCAATTATTATTTATCAAATCCCATCTGTGGGAAACACTATCAATAGCAAGCTCGATAGGGACATTGGTAAACAATGAAATAACATCAAGTGATATCAATTCCCAATGATTATCTATGTAAACTCCGCCATATTTATCTACTAATTGGAAACTGTCTTTAATATAACTATCCGCTAACGGAACAGAATCAAAAATAATTTTATGTAGAAATGAAGCGAGAGAATATAACGGAGTGTTAATGGAAGAAACGATGATTCTCAATGGGCAGCCCGGCTTGTGTATCTTTGGAAGTCCATAGGCCCTCGGCAAAACACCATCAGTACAATTAAGCGCTTTATAAGTCTTATTAGATATAAATTCGCGATTCTTCCATCTTGCGAGAACTTCGTGGAGACAACTAATTAATTTTCTAATAGGATTCTTCTGAACAACATTTTTTATTTATTTATTCTCATTTCTTATTCTATATGCGCATCTTCACTATTATCAATACATTAGCACTTTGTTTGAGCATGCAAACACTCTCATCCTTACACGACAATTTCCAATTCTTCCCTTTTTTATTAATAAAATAGTCTCTCGATGATTTTTTATGAGATATTAAATGACTTTATATATATTCTCTTTTATTTCGCCTAAATTATAAATACGATAAAAAGTGGAGTAATCTCCTATAATTTCATATATTTTAAGATTATTGCACATTTTAAATTGTACTTTGATTTGATTATTTTTATTGGACTTTTGATTACATCAGGCGCCACATCAGGCGCCGCATCAGGCGACATAGTGCCAATGGAAACTTTCACACACGCTTGGTCGGGATCAGTATATATTGACATTATATAGATGCGTGCAAATTAATCACTCGATTAACTCTTCGCTCGTGTGTTTACGCGATAGTGATTGATTTTTCGCGGAAAAATTACTACCGCGTGATTTATCGGTATGTCGCGGAAATGCCTTCACCGACAATAAATATAAATTCATTACTGGCTAATTAAGATTCATTTACTCGCAGCGTAATTATGCATGCATGTTAATAAGAGCGCATACGGACGTGTTCGCGAGTATGAGTAGCACAAACATGTTAATGGACAATAACGCGTCCGAAGGAATCTTCCGATACCGTTATCGCCGATCTATACCGTTACGGCTACTAATACCTTTTCCCGTGGAATGTGCAAATTCATTAGCACACGCCGGACGTTTTTGCGAAAAATGCAATAAAAGATGTCCGTGCGATTGAACGGGAAAGGAAAGTCTTTTGATCTCGGCGAGAGAAGGAAATCCGATGGAGATAGGCTCCAATATGAGAGAACCGTTTGTCTAGGTAGCAAAGCGCGTAATGCTAATTACAAGCTAGCAGACACTAACTATCGCAATCTTCTCACGGGACTCCTGGACGCAAAAGGAAAATTGATGCCGTTGCAACTTCGATTGCGGTAAACATATGAAGTAGACAATCCGAGTACGGTTAACGTGGAATTTCTCTGTGCGCAGAACCGCTGATTTAGCCTCGCACATTCCAAGACGCATACTTATATCCAAGATTGAGTACAACCGTATAGTAATACCTACGAGTTCTTCTTATAGCGAAAAATAACTATTCTATGTATCTCTTTTCCATCTCC